ATCCTACAACTTTTCAGGAGGCAGTACAAAGCCAAGAGAAAAGTAGATGGATGGGTGCTATGGTGGAGGAGATGGAGTCTCTGCATAAGAACCAAACGTGGGAGTTGGTGGAACTTCCCGAGGGGAAGAGAACAATATGGTGCAAATGGGTGTATAAGAAGAAAGAAGCAGTATCAGAAAATAAGGGAGAAAAATTCAAGGCTCGTCTAGTAGCAAAGGGTTACTCACAGAGAAAAGGGGTTGACTATGATGAGATCTTCTCCCCCGTGGTCAGACACACTTCCATCAGGACAGTGTTGGCACTAGTAGCACATTCAGATATGCAGTTGGAGCAGATGGATGTAAAGACAGCTTTCCTTCATGGCAACTTGGAGGAACGGATTTACATGGTACAGCCAGAAGGGTTCAGTCTCCCTGGAGAGGAACATTTGGTCTGTAATTTGAAGAAATCACTTTATGGGCTGAAGCAGTCTCCGAGGCAGTGGTACAAACGATTTGACTCTTACATGATCCGAATTGGCTACAAAAGGTGTGAGTATGATTGTTGTGTCTATGTAAAAAGGCTTGATGATGATTCATTTATTTTTCTGTTACTTTATGTGGATGATATGTTGATTACTGCCAAGAGTATGAGTGAGGTCAACAAGTTGAAGACTTTGTTGAGTAGAGAATTTGACATGAACGATTTGGGTGCGGCCAAGAAGTTTCTTGGGATGGAGATTCGCAGGGACAGAGCTTCCAGGAGATTATGGCTATCTCAGCATAGCTATGTTGAGAAGGTGTTGGACAGGTTCAACATGAGTTATGCAAAATCAGTAAGTACACCTTTGGTGAATCATTTCAGATTGTCTACCGCTCAGTGCCCGAAGACAGATGATGAAGTTCATAACATGTCAAAGGTCCTATATGCTAGTGCAGTGGGGTGCTTGATATATGCTATGGTTTGTACAAGACCAGATTTGGCACAAGCTGTCAGCGTGGTTAGCAAGTTTCTTTCAAATCTGGGTCGACAGCATTGGGATGCAGTCAAGTGAATTTTCAAATACTTGAGGGGCACTACAGACTATGGCATCAGGTTTAGCAGACAACAGAGTGACCCTTCAGTTATGGGATATGTGGATGCAGACTATGCAGGGGACTTGGATGACAGGAGGTCTACCACAGGTTATGTGTTTACTCTTGTGGGAGGACCTATTTGTTGGAAGTCCATGGTACAGCCTATAATTGCACTATCTACTACTGAGTCAGAGTATATGGCAGTAGCTGAGGCTGCCAAAGAGGCTTTGTGGCTTACAGGTTTAGTCAAGGAGCTGGGTGCCCAGCAAGGTGGAGTTCAATTGCATTGTGACAGTCAGAGTGCCATTTATTTGGCAAAGAACCAGGTGTATCATGCGAGGACCAAACATATAGATGTGAGGTTTCATAAGATCAGGGAACTGGTTTCTTCTGGTGAACTATTACTTGAGAAAGTTCACACTTCTGAGAATGCAGCAGACATGTTGACAAAGCCTGTTACTACAGACAAGTTCAAGCACTGCTTGGACTTGATTAATGTCTCTAGTTACTAGATAGGAGATGTCTCAACTCAGCGTCTCCGGTGGAGTTCCCGAATACATGTCCTCTTTTTTTTTTTTCTTCTAAGGGGTGAATATATTGCCAAGGTGGAGATTGTTAGAGTATGTATGACTCATATTTGCTGTGTGCATAATGACAAGGAGGCAAATGCCGGAGCGGGATTTATATATAGGGGACGCTAATTTGTTGGGGGTGCTGGGGCAACGCCCCGCGGTACGGTACAAGGGTATTTTTGTAAATACGTCCATATTAGGGTTATATAAATACTTAAGATGTAACCCTATTCTATAACGGAAAAGAACGGCCGCTCGCTCTCGTGGATGTAGGCACATTGTCAAACCACGTAAATCTATGTGTGTTATTTTCTCCTGCTTTCTTAATTGTTTGATTCTTTACTATTCACCATAATTGTTGCACGATCACAACAAAAAGCATTTCAGTTACTTCTTAGATTAATTCAAAGGCGAAAAAGAAAGGTGCAATTAGGCATAGTGATTATAACAATCATGGTTAATTTTTTGAATAAAAATCAGATCTCTCCGAATTCTAATTTATCTAATTTTTAGACATCAATTTTGTCGATGATTAAAATTGACTTAGTTGTTAAAAAAGAGACGAGACGATCTATTCACCTTTATCCATTCTTGAAATTGTTCGCTGACAGACAAGAGATCGACAACACAAACTTTTTTATCTTGAAAAGGGTGTGAGCCGTGTAACATATGTTACCTATACAACAACAACTTCACATGAAAATAAAATTGCATTCTTAAAATCATTGACATTTTTAAGTTTAGCGACGTGACAAATTCAAATACCTCGAATTTGAAAAGTAATTGAAATCAAGAGGATACATACCCAAGGGTACATAAGGTTATTTGACTTTTTGTCCTTACCATTTGAAATGATTTAAACCCATGTGCAAAGATCTTCCAAAACATTTGACTAATAGTCTGATAGGACCTTAGAGTGGTAGATAACTTCAAAATGAGGACTATTTAGACCTACAAAACAACAAAAGGGCTTGTCCATTTTTCCAGGGGTCGTTGGTCGGACTTTTCTTATTCTTATAATAGCCAATTGTGTATCCATCAATCATTATTTCTAAACTAGGGTTCACCCAACTGTAATTGTCTATTTTAAGATTTCATTGGGTCCCACCTCCTAAATTTTGAATGATACAAAACCATAAATACCGGAAACGCGATTTTTTCACTGACCTTTGTAGATACGCATCTTTGAACATTGAAAAATTAGTTAAGGGAGAATTATAATTGCTGCCCTACCAATGCGACCCACGAGATTTATAATTTTTTTTATTGAAAAAATTATCAATAAGTATAATTATTTTTCAAAAAAATTCATTAAGTTATATTTTTTTATTTTATATCATTGAAGTCTTATTTTTGATATTTTATGTCAATGAAGTCCTAAACTTCATAAATACTATATTTTATTCTAATTTTATCATTCTTTTGAAAAATATAGGCTATAACAATAATTTTTTTTATTCATAAATATTTTATCTTCTTGTGTTTTAATTTATCCTTAACTCCAATAATTTTTCAACGAGAGAAAAGTGAGGACAAAAGGACAAAAAAAATTCAACTAAGAGAACCAATTATGTTAAATTCAATCTAAATTTATACGATAACCCCAAACCATGAAGACAATGTTTCTATAGAATCTGCAATATATTAATTATACTTTAATCGAAGTGAAAATTAGAAGTTGTTGTCGGAAACAAACCTGTCACCGTAGTTGAGCAGGGGAACAAATGACAATTGAAAAGTCTCCACCGTGCACTCATTGTTGTAATATCAGTAAAGATTAGAAGGGTAAAATTCTATATTACCCTTTATTTTGTGGGTTCAATATACTCTAAAGTTTAAAACTAAATTTATTATTTGAATGTCCAATAGAATCTAGGTATTTATATAATATTTTTTATATACAATGCAATGTATCACTTAAACATAATTATTTAAATGCCCAATTGGAGGGGGGAGACATTTTAGATTGAGAGTATTTTTATTAGGATTTTATAACCGTTAAAAATATGATTTTATCATAATAAAAAATTATAATTTAATATTAACCTTTATTTTGTGAAGAGGTCCAAATGATAAAGTGACAAGCCTGATGGGATTTAGGTATAATTTATCAATTTAGTTTTAAACAGTAAATTGACGATAGTTAATTTTAAGTGCACATTGATATAAATTTCTATTTTTGAGGGTGTACATTGAGATTTTTGATTTTTGGGGGTGCACATTAATACAAATTTCTATCTTTGAGGGTACAAATTGAGATTTTTGATTTTTAGATGTGCACATTGATATAAATTTATATCTTTGATGGTGCAAATTGAGATTTTTTATCTTTGGAGATACAAATTAAGATTCGAACGATCTTTTAGGATACAATTTACAATTAACCCAAAAAAATAACACTTATTGATAATTTTCTATTCATTATTTTGTGTTCTATCTTACTTCCTTATCCTTTCCCCCTCTTATGCTTTCCCCTTTTTTAGTAACACCATTTGAGAAACTAGATATGGAATTGTTAAAAAATTTGTGGGCATTAAAACAAAATTCTTAGATAAATTGTAATATATGGTGGGGGTAGTTAGTGGTAGAGGAGATGGGTTGTTACGAGGGTGAAGTGGTCTAATATGGTTGGAAAGACCATTTGGTTTTTGATTTAATAATACAAAATTCTAAGATATAAATGAGAAATATAGGACTTCTTAAGGTACATTGAAGGTTTCTTCATCTAAAATCCTACATTATAAGATCAATTATTGAGTGACCCATATTGAATAAATATATATGTTATGCTACTATTTGGCTCTCTTAAAATAAAATCCCGACTTCATCCTTCGAAATATGAAAAAAAAAATTATTAAGAAAAAGAGACGTAAGAGAAACGGAATAAACCATTAATTTTTATTAAGATAGGACATTCTCTCTCCCTCTATTTCTCTCTTTATTAATAATACGAAAAAGTATATAAACAGATCTCTACCCCTTGGGATGTTTATGTTCCTCTAATAAAAAAAAAGCTCAATGACCCTCCCTACGCTATCTATGACCGATGTATGTATATTTATTAGGAGCAATTCGTATTTGAAGATACAGTATAATATGAATATGATTGAGAAATAATAAAATGAATTTATTGTGGTCTATCTTATTTTTTATTATAAATTTGTATATGCATATTTTACTTTATTATTATTATTTTTTATAGAGAGGTCACATGTTAAGAAATCGTGGGTTGAGGAATGAAGGGTCCCGCTATGTAAGCTTTCGGTCGTTGTTTTCTAGTTGAATGTGTCAGTTTTATGTGTTTGCCTATGTAGGTGGCCTTAGTGGACCGTAGTTGGATAGCCCTGTTCCTGTCGTGTCAGCCAGCTCGTTCTTCTCTCTCTCTCTCTCTCTCTCGCGCTCTCTCTCTGCATCCATAAACATAACTGATGCACATCAGTTTACAATTAGGGTTTGATTGGACCAGGGATGTTGAAGATTTCGGAGAAGTAGGACCTACTCCCATATACCCGGAATTTAATGTTTGAAGGCGACTAAGTTTTTCAATACTACTACATTACGCCACCCGTTTTCTGTTAGTTTTGCTTTTTCTCTCTCTAGAATTGTGTTTCAACAACAGTTGGTTGTTGTTGTTGTTGTTGTTGCGGCGCGTATTCCTTCCATGTGCAAGTTGGTAAAGGCTTCGTTCTTTTAACCCGTTTTTTCTTTGTTCCTTATTGACTTTTAGCTCTCAATAGTCTCCCTTATCTTTGTTTGCTATTATTTTCTATGTTTTTTGGTTAGCCTTTGAATTGGGTATTAAGAAGTTTTTCTGTATTGGGTTTCTGCTGTTTCAAATCAAAAGTCAGGTGGAACTTGCTCTGGGTACTGGGTTCTTGTGGGTTTGATTCTTTGATCCCCAGGTAAGAAAAAGTTGAAATTTTTATTTTTAGTATATGTAAAGTTGTTGTGTTTGTTTATGAATATGATATTTGTGGATTGATTGGCTTCTAAGTTTGGGTGTCTGCTTTTCATGGTTGTTTAATTTCCTTTTGGAGGTGATAAGAAAGTGATAGGATTGTTTGGGCATGTTTTGTGCTTTTCTGTTTCCCGTATGTGTACAAATTATCATATTTTTTGTGGTTAGTTTGATTGATACAATCTATAAATGCTAAGCAATTCAATTTTTCGGTTTCTGTCACATAGTTAGCTCTGTGTGATGCACACACTTGCGTAGGTGATTCAAATGATTGAGAGTTCTCTGATGTATCTTATGATCCTGTTATATTTCAATGGTTTAAATTGGGATTACCACCAAAAAACCAAAGCATTTCTATAGTACTCACTGTAACCGTTGTATTTACTATTTGTTACATTATGCAAGTCCATATGATCTTTTAGGCTCTATTCAGAATCTGCAAGCTGTGTACATATTTTTCTCTCTGAGAAGTAGTTATGCTCTTTTAGGAGACGACATGGTTTTTGTTAATGTCATATTGATTCTGATGTTCAAGTCACTGCATAAGATCATAAAGATCCATCACTTGTTTAAGGTAAATGATAAAACCACAAGAAGCAACTTGGAGGTGTTTATTCTCTCTTCTGACGATGGAATTGAACTTCCTTTATGAAATATTGTGTTTAATGCGAGCAGATGAACACAAATTCATCAATTCTTCTTTCTAAAATAACCATTGATATTGAAACATCGACTCCAGGGAGAAGAATATGTCACCAAATTTCTCTTTTTTATGTTTATGTTACTGGTGAATAGCCTTTGATCGTCACTTATAAGAGTTAAGGAATCAAAGTACTGAAAAGATCAGTTTAAGTTTTGTATTTAACTTTTTGGCAGAGGTTCCCTTTTACGTTGCTTCATGCCGGTGATACTCATCTATTTTATAACTACCTGAGCACTTACATCAATATGTTGATCATAAAGGTAAAAAGATTGGGCTGCGGTTGTGTATTCACTTCGGAAGACAACCTCCCCGTTATAATAACTCGCGAACTTCTAGCGTTTACTTGTTCCCACATTTTTCTTAGAATTTTTTGTACTAATGACAATTCCATTTAAATGCTGTGATTTTTACCTGTTTATATTAAGTTCCTTCTGCGGGGGGTGATGCTAACTATTTATGTCACTTTCTTTCCAGATCGCCTGTGAGACTTGACCACAAGATACTCAGGCCAGTTCTGTATAGTCTGCCATGTTTGAGTTTGTTTACAACTAGGGGTAGAAGATAGAAGAACTTTCTCTGGCCTTTAACAACCAACTTGCTGGAGGCAGAAGATGGAGAATTTAATTGTCAATGCAGAGAAAGATGGCAAAGAAAAAGAAGATCACAGTGAGGATCATGGTCTGTCTAAAAGATTAGTAAGAAAGGTAGAGCCAAAGAATGTCCTGATATTAAATGGAAGGAAGTCTCAAAGTGGTGAACTTTGCAAACAGGAACTGTTTCTTAAAGGTATTCGTGGCATAGACAATAGGTTTCCCAAGCGTATAATGAGTTTCGATGAAAAATACCTTCGTCGTTGCCTGGAAATGATACATATCAGTGCGTTGAGAGCTGCCTCATTCAATATCTACCCCGAGATGAGTGTTTGTTCAAAAGAAATTACTAGTAGAGATAGGTGTGATTTGGTTAGTTTGGGTATTGGATGCTCTTTGTCAGCTGAGACTGACAATGTTGCCATAAGCTCTACAGGAGATTGGATTCTAGGTACAATCACTGGGAGCAAGAGTATGCTAAATATTCTAAAGAGCCCTCTATTTCACCAAATTGGTGCCTCAGATTGTGATGTCAAGTTTGGAGGAACAAGTTTTATCGATGACAAAGAACTACTGCATTCTGATTTTATGAGCTCTTCTTATGGGTTAAGTATCAGTTCCTCGCAAAAGCTGCAAAAGGAAATGGCGGTGCTTGGAGACCATAGATATGGATCTGAGCCTGTACACAAAAGGCTTGTTTCTGTGTCAAGCACAATCTCATCCTGCTCAAATCAGTCTTATTCTGCATCTGCTACTGTTTCTCTGGGAATGCTCCAGTGTACATGGAAGGATGGGCTTCCAAATTATATATTCTCTTTAGATGATCACAGGGAGGTTTATGTAGCCGAAATGTGTAAGGTTGAATCATCCGATGATAAGGTTTTGGATTATATGTACAATTTTCATTCAAGAGCAGGTAGCAAAAAGAAATGTGCGATACATGAGGATGAATCAGATCTTGTTGCTAAAATGAGAGTATCAACCTCTATTACACTCTGTCCAAACAACTCACAAGTGATGGAGACTCAGTTTGTTCTGTTTGGTTCCGATAATTACAGCGCGGGAGAGATTCAAACTTCAAGCCATACCCATATGAAGAACAAAGGGTTGTCGAAGAAGATGGTGGATGTATTTAGGAAAAATCAATCTTATAAACAGAGAACTCCCTCCAAATTTTGGGGAACAAGTGCCATACTTGAAAATTCTACTTGGGAGTTGTGCCAAGATTCACGCAACAAGTGTGATCCAGTTAGGGCCAATCTTTCAGATAAACATCTTCCTCCAAATTGTGAGTTGGCTGCCATAATTGTTAAGGACCACATCCATGACAATCGTAAGGATGCAGAACTTGGAGGATGGGGCTTAAAGTTTCTCAAGAAAGCCGGGATCAAGCAAACCAATGCATCTCTAGATACCTCAGAACCTTCTGAATGTTGTCGACGAGACAGTGGCGATTGCTCGACAAGTATGGATATTATAGTTCCAGCAGGTTTCCATGGTGGGCCAAGAACCAGATATGGTGGCCCTTCAAGCCTCATTGAGAGATGGAACTCTGGTGGGCACTGTGACTGCGGGGGCTGGGACATAGGTTGCCCACTGACGGTACTCAACACTAGGCCAAGCAGAATGGGAGTTTCACCTCAAACAGAGATTCCTGGAGAGTGCAGGACAGTTGATCTCTACATACAGGTTTGTAAAGTGACAAGCTCTCTATTTTTCTTTGTCCTCTGACGTTGATTGGTAAATTCAACTGTTACTGATGAAGTTAGTGAGGCTTTGTTTCAAACTTAGAAGTTTTCCATCCTTTTTCTGTTTTTTTTTTTGAACATCAGGTACCTTGTCCTATTACAATAACACATTGGGGTGATCTTAGATCAACTTCTCTTTTTTTTGCAGGGTTCAAAGCAAAATACACCTATCATGAAAATGGCAAATATCCATGATGGTTTGCATTACATTCATTTCCAGTCAACTCTATCGGCTTTACAATCTTTCTCGATTGCAGTGGCAGTCATACATACATGTAGTCCCACCCTCCGACCCAAAGTATATAGGAGTTGAAGTTGCAAATCTAAGGATAAGGTTTGTGTATCTGTGATTTACTGTACTACAGTTATGGGAACTTCCAGTTTAGTTATTTACAGATGAATTAAGATGCTAGTATTCCTTTATTATTGCTGGAGTGTTCCATTATTTTGTAATTTGTTGCCCCGATTGTTACTGAGTACTTATTTGTTGTCTCAAGGCTGGAAAGTTATTGTATCCAATTCTTTTGACTGAATTGTACAAGTTTCCATTAGAGTGAATTAGATGCCAAATTTTGTTATCCACAACAGCATATATAAAGATTCTCGAGTAATGAAAAGAATCAATTTGAAGGTCATATTTTGTAAATTAATCGTTGAGATTGCATTTCTCAACAGATTAGTTTAACTGTATTCATCATTTATTTAAATGGAATCCTATTTGTCTAGTGAATGCACGAACTTAAATTTGGCTAAAAAAAGCCAAAAGTTGCAATATATTGTGTTGTGGAAAACGACAAAGGCTCTTGTCTACTTCGATTGTCACCATTGAAAGAAAGGATGAATTGAACACAGGTGATTTGTTTTCTTGCACCCGTTATCTATGTATCTAAGATTTCCTTTTTCTTAATTATTTCTAGTTGCAAGAGAAAATATGCTAGTGAACATGTGAACACCATGCTTGCTGTTTAGGCACTCAAGCGTTACCCTTTGCCTCTTATGGTAGCATGGATCCTAAATCTTGCGAGGGTCTGCTCACTCATTCAACTTTACCAGGTTCATATAGCTGTAAAATACACAGTTGGCAACGCAGATGCAGTGGTTGCCCCTCCATTTCTGAAGAGCTTTCCAGTACGAAACGCATCACATGGCTCTTACCAAATGCATGTTTTCTCCTATTCTTGGTTTGTTTTCCCTTTTGGTTCATGTAACTTCCTTTGATTTTCTTATTTTTTTTCTCTGCACTAGTTTTGGCTGCAAAATGCGTAGGATCTCATATTTTGAATGGAAAAATGGATGTCTAGCTAAAAATTTTTATCAAGCAATCAATGGACAACTAGAAAAATGTAAATAAAATAGCTTGGTACGTTAATACGTTTTCTTGGAATCCTTACTCTTGCTAGTGGGAATCAGGCCAAGCACAGTACAGAAAAAGCAAGTTCCTAGATTAGCTATAATATCTGTGATTCTATGGCTAATTTTTTTCTCCATTTGTTCAATGAGGAAATGTATAGTAGGAAAGAAGATTCATGGTATGAATATCGATTAAACATTGTGTTAGACAAAGAAACCTTGTAGGAAAAGCATGCCATTATTGTTGGAATTCATGTATGTAATGTGTTGTTTGAAACAAAGCAGGCACAGATGCCCTGAAACTTACTGGTAGCTTGGGAGCTTCTGGTTTTGCATTGATTTCACTTTAAGGAGGTTAAATACAAGTTTGGTGTGTTATCTTCGTATGTGGGCCAATGGACTAGTTTCTTCATATATGGTTGTGGTACAATAGTAAGGTTGCTCCTTGTGATCAAAACATCAAGGGTTCTAGTCGTGGAAATAACCTCTCAACTTACAGAGGTAAGGCGTAATGGCGGGTGGCCTCCTGCACTAGGCTGTTTGTTATTTTGGCTAAAATGTGGCTGGATTTTTGTGTTATTTGGGCGTGGTTTTGGTTGAATTGAATGAAACAGGAAGTTGTCTACCTACTGAACACTTAAAACTTTATACTTGCTAAAAAAATACTTCTCTCTCTCTCTCTCAGCGTGCGACAACAAATAGGTTGTAACAGTTGATGATACATAAATTGGTATTGCGTAAAATTAATAGTCGAGTATATCAAGAAGCACAATTAATGAGCAGTAAATAGGAAATCAATGATAAAACAGTAAATAAGGAATCAACACCAAGATTTATAGTGGTTCAGTTCCGGTGACCTACTCCATTCTCGGGAATGACGGCGGTGGTCGGAGATCTTTATTAATGAATAAGAGTCACCGAGAGAGTATTCTCTTGGAGAACTACAATGCTTTGAGAGAGAGGAGTAATATGTGTAGGGAGGTGTGTAGAGGTTTTTTAGATGATGCCCTTTATGTGGAGTTGGCTTATATTAAATAGGTTTTGGTAAGGCGGTGACGTGAGGGAGAGAACTTCTATTATTTTGGTAAATACAAATAAGGTAAGATTAGATCTTCGAGCGTATCCCGATATTCTTTTCCTCGTGCTCTTATTTTGTCCAACGAAGATCCTAAGCTGGGTTAGACTTGAGTGGGTTGGACTTGAGTTAGAGTGGCAAGAAGGAGAGGGCGAAGGAGGAACAGGGGCTAGCTCTTGGGTGGCGCCTAGGCTTGGGTGACCCATTGGACCACGCCCCCTAGTCCCCTCTTGGGCTTTGGCTTCTTGATTCCGTCTTGCGCTTGGTGGGTTAAGCTCCTTTCTAGATATTAATTATTGTTGGACCAAAATAGTTTTTTAAGAATAAAAACTGAGTTTTTGGTCGACTTTGAGTATAAATTAAAGTGGGACCCGATTATTATTTTTTATAAAATTTCGTGGGTTCATATTCTACTCTGTGAAGAGAATAACATGGTATATTCACTTGCTCAAATAATAGGCTCCAAAATGACCCTCTTGAAACATGAAAATAAAGGAATTGCAATGATTGAGGAAGAAATTCAACATGGACATATATAAACTAAGTTTACTCTATGAGATTGGGCCCAAAGGGGTACCACAGTTTTATGAGCGGAATGAGCACCTATATGTCTTCGGTTCAACCACACACGCATGCGCCACCCACCCGCCTCACCACGACCACGACCACGACCCGACCCGGCTCAGACTCAGGCTCGGGTGTGGGTTAGACCAAGCCCTAATGGACGAGAATTTCTTAACCCGAAATAAATTTTTTGGTATCCTTTAAATCGCACTGGTTCGAATTTGGGCATCCCTCCGATCCGAAAAAGAGTCCAGTCTGAAATTTTTAAGATGTGTCTGTTCATGGAGAACAGTTACCCAAGGTATCTACTGGTTGTTATGTCTTGTCATTCTGGGTTATGTCCTTTAGTAAGGTGACTGTTCGAAAAGTCACCAATGGGTCAAGCTCATTTTCATTAATTGCATTCAATTTATTAGTCCATTAAGGCATTAAACAATCTGCATTTCGGCATTAACATAGTGCATTTAGAGAGAGTACACAACACGATTTTGGTTCGCTGGACGAGCAGATTGGAGTGCTACTTCTGTTCGTGTAAAGATCATTATATCCTAGAAGGCAGACGCTCGGTATTTCATAAGCACCGTGTGTGGGGGCGAAATCTGTCTTAAGGACATAGTGTCAAATACTAGCCTTGATCTACCTAAAGTTCAATAACAGTTCTTGTTCTACAACCGGGTTAGTTTTTATTTTGTTTAATCAAACAATTACGTGTTACTGTTTGCTGTAACTCTTTCGTGTTTCATACTTGTTTGTTACTGTTTTATATATTTCAAATCAGAAACTTCAATAAGTGATTCTACTATATTTGGAATACCACATCTAACAATCTTAAGACAGATTTTTGAAGTTGTATAGTTGCTTATTGTGTTTCTGATACATGTTTTAATTTTAGACTGTTCTAAAATATTGTAAATTGTTAAAACCTATTTTGTTTACAATCTGTAATATTTTGAAAAGACTTGAAAATTTGTGAAAAAAAAATTACATATTCTGTTTTTTGTATTTAAATTCAAACAGTTACTCCAAACTGTTATAGTTACAACAAACAGTGACTCTGTTTTTAATAGTTACACCAAACAGTGACTTTGTTTCTATGTATGATTTAAACAGTTACACTAAATAGTGATACCATACAGAAACGTTAAACTAGTAATTTTGAAATAGTGACACCGAATCTATTTTAATAACTTGCTTTGAAAAGTGTTATTATTTTCCTATTTTGAATAGTTTGTAATATTTATTTATCGGAAATGACTGTAAATGATAATAATGTTCTTGCTACTACAAATCATGTTGTGTCTGTGATGCCTATTTCTGTTCTTACTCATGTGTCTCATAGGGAGAAACCTGAAAAGTTCAATGGGAAACGACTTCAAGAAATGACAACAGAAAATGTTGTTCTATCTCACTACATTGAATTTTGTAAAGTTTCTTCGTGAGGATATTCCTGTTTGTAGTGAGAATGAGACTGACTGTCAAGTTGTTGTTGCGGTGGATGCATGGAAACACTTTGATTTTCTGTGCAAAAATTATATCTTCAATGGGTTGGATAACACATGATATAATGTATATAGTCCAATCAAGACGGCTAGGGAGTTGTGGAAATCCTTGGATAAAAAATACAAGACGGAAGATGTCAGAATGAAGAAATTTGTTGTGGACAGATTGCTTGAATACAAAATGGTGGATTCCAAGACTATCATAAATCAAGTTCAAGATCTTCAAGTGATCCTACATGAGATTCATGCCGAAGGGATGATGCTTTGTGAATCTTTTCAAGTGGCTGCAATTGTTGAGAAATTACCGCCAAATTGAAAATTTTTCAAAAATTATTTGAAGCACAAACGCAAAGAAATGAAACTTGAACACTTGATCGTGAGATTGATGATTGAGGAGGATAATAGAGTTTTCAAAAAGAAAGTTGGCAATCATTCCATGGAGTCAAAGACACATGTGATTGAAGAGAGATATAAAACCAACAAGAAAAGGAAGTATGTTGGCCAGCAAGGGGCCAAGGGTGTTGATTCCAAAAGGTTCAAAGGCAATTGTTTTGTGTGCAATAAACCAGGGCACCGTGCAAAGGATTGTCAAAACCATAAAGTACAAAGGAACCACAAGAGGAAGATTGTCCAAGCCAATATAACCGAGGTAGAAAAATTTTTTGAAAATGTTTCTAACATAAGTTTTTTTGTTGTAGTATTCGAAGTGAACTTGATGAAAAATACCAAGAAATGGTGGGTGGACATCAGGACCACTAGACACATATGTTCGGATAAGAAGATGTTCTCTTCATATGAAATAATGAATGATGGAGAACAACTCTTCATGGAAAATTCCTCCACTTCTAAAGTTGAAGGCAAATGAAAAGTTATATTGAAGATGACTTCCAGAAAAGAACTTACTCTAAATGCTGTGTTACATGTTCCAGAAATTCGAAAGAATCTTGTGTCTGGATCGTTGTTGAGTAAGAAGGGTTTTAGGTTAATTTTTGAGTCCGACAAATTTGTACTTACCAAGAGTGAGATTTATGTGGGCAAAGGATATATGAGCAATGAGGTCTTTAAGATGAATGTAATGACAATTGTATATGATTTTAATAAAAAGAACACATTTTTTTGCTTATTTGC